TGACAAAGATCTCAAATCCTAGTATACATGAGGAGCAAAGTAAACACGTATGGTGGCTATGAGAACTGTGATAATATATCAGGTAATCTGGATTTTGATTAAGTAGTTTTACAACGTGTTAAATGGAACTCTGAAATGTTTTCTCACCACTTTTACAACTAAATTTCCGTGGTGCATAAGAGATTAAAATGAATATAGTCTATACACGTAATTAGCGTTTGCTGTCAAACAATTTTCCCTATTCTTATAACATTCATTCTCTTGTCAAGGCTACTTTAAATGTACAAATTCAACAAGGTATGTTCTCAACACACAACAAACACGACAGATCTTCATTCTTCATTAGATTTTATTGCGGATTTTTTCCCGCTCCTCAGAGTTTTCCAACTCTTCAACTATAATCATAACGTAATTAAGAAATGATCGACGTGGAAACCACTGTCTTTAATTGATAACATCGATTAATTTCAAATGACATATCGTAACAAATTTTATGCTGTATTTATCTTGATTCTGCAGTAAACCTTTCGTTATAACGCGTCGACCAAATTGCGTAGACAAGTTTACTGCATTAAATATCGCTATGCGAACTATTTGTTAATGCCTTTAAGTTGCCGTGCTTCAGGTAACTTATGGTCATTGAGAATAAATAATAATAATAATTGGTTATGCATTTAACACTATTTGGTATCAATGGGTGACTGGAAAACGTTCTTGATCTAAATGATCTTTGTTCCCGAATATTTTTTTGTTGAATTTGAAGAAAATTGGCATCCGACATGAATCACTTGGATTACCGAATGCTCAGCAAATATAATATAATAGGCTGCTTAGCAGTTTGAAGTTATGCAGCTAATGAATTCAATGCGTTTTTAAACTCACTCGATTAGACAGGGCTATGTTTTGTACGAATAACGTTATACACAACTCAACAATCAAGTTCAAGGTTGATATTTGAAAAGCCGTTGAACATGAAACTCTACCTTGACAAAAGTAGCCTTTTAAAGGACCGCTTACCTTTTCGTTGTATCTTTTGAAGTCTTCTTGTTTCTGCAAGCAGCATAGTTGAGCATCAAAATCTGTTGCGTCTGGTGAATTACAGGCAAACTGAGAATCCTCAGATGCATCTGCTTTCTTGTTATTATTTACTGCAAGGTAAGCATAATTTAAACATTTGAGTTTATGCTGGGAATGTAGATAATGGTTTAAGCAGCTTTTACTTACTTTAATCTATCAGGTGTCAGGATATGTATTCAGAAGATTTGCATATCATCAGTCTTAGAAATCATGACATTTTCATATGAGTAATTGTGATTCATGTCAACTTGTGACAAGTGTCGACGAGTTTTATTATACTAGCATTATCAAGACAAAAGTGGTCTAAGGAATTTGATTTATTGGGTTTTTCCTGAGAGCTTTACGTAGCATTTGATAATGAACTTGTTAATCATTACCTTTCGGTTTGTTAGGGTACACTGAATTTCTTATGGAAAACGTAGTTTATTGTATCAAACAATCTTTGTTACATTATGAGTTTTACTTACGTCATTTATGAAAGTCTTTACACTGTCAATGTTCAAACCAATCAGTGGAAGTACCCTTGTGGTGCGTGCTACTTATATCGATGTAAGTAGTATATCACGCGAGTTAAAAGCGCAATGTTTGACAGCAGAAGATGGAGGAAGATCAAGAAAGAAAGAGCGACAACACAATGCGATTTGTAAGGAGACGCATGAACAATGAAATGTGAGACAATGGATTGATAATTGCAACAGGAACAGTCGAGGTTGATATGATGCATTGATATTTTGCAAATTAACGAATTACTATATGGTTTTTCTATTTTACCAAGTAACTCTGTAATGTTGTGCTAAATACAATTCAGTTATCCTCACCTGTGTAGTCCTTCACTTCACCTTTACATATTTCATCAACTCGCTTCAACTATTGATTAGACATGTAAAATAGATTGGTACATCTCAGTACTTCACGAACTGTTTAAAACAACAAATTGTGACAACAATCTGATTTAGGCAAAATGAACATTATGTAAAATTCACCTTCATGCATAAGCTGGCGACCAATAAACCAACCGATAGTCCCATATTTCTCAGACATTGAATATCCTTCTTCGAGATATGGTGGGTTTAATAGACCGGCAGATACTTTAATACGTTTATCTTCAACCGAACTAGATATGTATGGCATAAAACTGAACGCGTCAGGCCTAAATAAATGTGAACGAAAATGTAGTTCGGCTATTTTAAACTTAAATAATAAATGAAATAAAAACTGACTTAGCTCAATTTAATGTATACATGGAATCATCTACTTTGATTATATTGAATATTCGCTGCGCTCTGTTTTTCGTCGACTGTATGAATTACGAGTTTATAAGCAAAGTGACTTCATACGTTACAAAACAATGAACGTGATTCATTTATAAATTCCATGCAATAATTATAGTATGGATGGGAGTCAGGACGAATATTTTGAACGTAGTTTATTGGGCATAACACGTATTACGCACGTTACTGGCTAAAAGCAGGTTGAACAGTTTGTCGTCATGGAAATGTTCAAGATGACAAAAGCGCTAGTGAAATAATGTGATGTAATAGTATATTGATTCACTGTGATTCTTGAGCTACGATAACATGACGTCCGTTTTTAGTAAATCACCAGGAGTTACACACATAATTCAAGAGGTACACGACGGAAATTTATCCTGTTTACACTATTTATAGGTGTACTTATCATTCAATTTATCTCTGACGATCAGGGATTATGAAATATATCACAGAATGAATAATCTCAATAACAGTAGAATTTGGAAGAATCTGGATTGAATTTAAACTAGTGATGTAGTGCAGAACAGGTGTTATGGTTACCAGTGATCATAACCAAGGTAGAAGTTATGTATGGTTAATCGAATCAACTGTACATAATTAATTTCTAACATACATACAAACGTCGGTCTTAACTATACTTAGTCACACATTCTGTGTTCTATTCTGCTCATTATTACGTTCCCAATATAATCCAACCTTCAGAAACTCAAGTACACTGAACATTTGTCAATAATTATATTATTGACTGGAATTCTCGGTTGTATGTAGCTGATAGGAAAACGTGATATGGAATAATGAGTTCATTTTATTCTGAAAATCTTTTCGTTCCTGCTCTGTTCAAACTTATCAAAGAGTTTCGTTGTGTGAAGCTTAATTATGTGATGTATTTTACTGCTCAGAGTTGAATTTGTTTGGAAGTATATTAATTCCATGAAGATATGTTTTATTCAGTGTATTTGCCTACTCAAAATTTGAAAAACAAATACTTCAAAATAATAAATTACTCCATGTCAGTATCCAGTGGTTTGTTAATTGATTTAAGGAATTTGGTTTTCTGAGAATGGTACACATTCATTAAGTAATCATCCTTGGAAATTTTATTCTGAAACAGGAAATGGATATTTTCATGAACCTTTAGGATATTCATCAATTAAACGAATCTTAGAAATTTCTAGATGTGTCACCATTAAAATGTGTTGTTACGCTGTCATGAGATTGAATGTTGTTTCACAGAGCGCTTCACTTCTTTTCAATGGGACATTCAAAATCAAATGTATTTAACAGGATAGTAAGTAAATGAAACAGGCAGAATGATATAAGTATTAGCTAGCACAGATATTGAAGACTATAGTGAAATATATGCAATGCTGTGAATTTCACGTTTACGATTCTACAAGTGAACAACATTCTTTAACAAGGTTTTTTATGATTAGTTAAGGCTTGATAGTTCCACATCGAATCCGTTTTACAGTTTTGATCAAGGGACAATTTCTAATTGACATTTGGTTTTTGAAGTAATATGATATGTCCTTCTTAATGGTATTTTCTATTTCCAACTATACGTATGTTTTTATAAATTCTCAGCAGTATTATCAAAATGGGAACATGTACATTTGTATTTTTGAGCGAACGCCTTTAACCATTTTGGTTTTATTCGTGAGACACAGAATAATTTATCTTCGCATTAAATGGAAGAGGCAAATGTCAGGGTTGTGATCTAGATAGTGTAGTCGGCAAGCGGGCGCTGAAACATTTACGACGAAGTACATAGATGGAATAAGGAGACTGATATGTATGTATGATTGCATTTCAGAGCACATTCCTAAAACCCCTTGGCTAATGGACACCTCAACCCTAAATATTGAGATTGCTGTCTATTTAACCAATAGCCAGCATGTTATTGACGTTATTCATTCATCTGAAATAATTGACGAACAAAATCTTATTTCGTGAAGCTTCACTGCAGCAGTGAGTAATATTATTTTCGAACCTGGTGTATTCTATCAGAAAGAGACGGGTGTATATCAGTTACTCCTAAGTTAAATTGAGAAATTTTACTAAACAAGCTTCAACAGCCAGAACATTCGTTTCCGAACTATTTAAGCAACAACAGCATTCTTGGAGTTATTGTGAACTATTCAAATCTTCTATAATTGTTACACATTCCTTCTTATCAGTTCTGGAATAATGTGTGATTACTGCCCTGTCTACTATATGTTTGCTTCATACACCACCATCAACATATACATGTATGTATAGTCCTGATAATCTGTATCATTTCAAGTGCTTGGTTTTATAGTTGGGCAGTATGTTATGTCTCATGACAAATATGATTGTAAGCAGTTGATGAGAAATCGCTAAATGAGACTATTGCATATTATTCTGTTCCATTCACTGTATTTACGATAGTCATGAATGGTTAACGTCAAGACAAGTCATATGGTGGACAGAGTGGTAGTACAATGCAAATCTCTTTCAACACGTTTAGTGATTCTTTTTATTCAACGAATTCAGTTCACCCATAGTTCCAGGATAATAATCAACAACCAATAAATTATTTGTGAAACTCACATTGAATATGAAATCCCGGCTGTCTCTATCTGCTGCCGACAAACTTTTTGAAGTAATTATGGACAACTCATACTCTTTAGCCTAAAAAACAAATGGACTAGTGTTCAATTGATCAGTTAAAATAGGACAAACCAAGTTGATGGATTTCTGCTTTTCATCTTCACTCGACCATGACTTTGATGACAATGAACTAATGAAGGTCGTTTTCAATTGTTTGAACATTTCGCGAACCTATTCAATGCATAATGATATATTGCTCATAATCAAAGTAATTACACAAATGTTGCAAAATAAACTACCAGTACTTTAGAGAAATCAATGTGGCCCACTGAACACAATCGTTCATTGTTTTATTGTCAAATCGATGCAAAGGAAATAGTCCTTGAGGAAGAATCATGCAGATATTCATGTGATCAAACAGACAACCGTTATCTATGAAACATGTAAATCTCTTCATCACCAAATGATAGTCCATCTGAATAGAATACAAAATTGTTTACTGTAATTTGCTTACAGCGTATCGTAGTGACATAATTATATTGGTTCATGATTAGAAACAATATAATTGTCTTCAGTTTTATCATTGAAATGAAGTTCTCACTGACAACACATTGCATATCTGAACACGATTATCTGTAAGCAGACCAATATCGTGAATTCTCAAAATAGGTAAACGGAACAATGAATAGACAGGTTTTTAGTGAAATTGTAGACTCACTTGATTTTCTGTACTTTCACTTATACTGGAATATTTATGATGCTTTTCTATTGTCCATCGGAAATTTTCTTTTACTTCATCAATGCAATTTGTTGGCTTTTTCGCTGACATTTCTGTCGACGTGAATTAATATTTTATCACGTCAATAAATGAAATGACATGAAGAGACCAATAAATAAAACATCGTTTATTTTTAATTCCTATTGAGTATCGTAGGACTTATTTCAGAATGGTACTCATATATCCTTTCTCATTAAAAAATAAATACCGTTTGAAATTAGCCAGATACATACACACTAGTTATACTTGAGTCGATTGTTGAAATGACATATCAAAAGTGAATTGTTGTGAGAAATGAGAGAGAAATTCACTGAAGAACTATGACTGTGATGTGAATAAGTGAAGCTTGTTTTGTGATATTTTATCCCAATGATTATTTAATTCATCGTTTATAATATGTTGTCGACTATAATGTATCTGGAATGTATCCTGATATTGATAATAGTTTATATGTTGAATATATCAACATTTATGTAAATTATATTCCGGTTTGTGCATTTGTTCTTTCTTTACCTCGAATATGGAAATGTTTGGATTAAACATAGACAAAATTGGAAATCAATTCGTTTAAGGAAACTGACAATGTTACTTACGAACATTAGCAGGATAAAACTCATTGAAATACCGATTCAATATATTTCTCATGTTGAACAAGAAACTGATCACTGTCATCGAGTGTAAATTTCTTTGAAAGTAAATTTTAATAAATAATGATTAGTTATTGATAAATAATGAAAAAAAGTGGTAGTTACATGAACTGACATTAACGAGAAGACGATTTGTACAGAACTAACATTAGTGGAAGTTTGTAAGACTAGAAAAATAAGTTATCATGAATGACGAATACTTAGATATGGAAAAGAATTCACAGAATGACCGCTGTCCATATTCCCACAATTGCAACAACCGATACAAATGATTGCAGCTAATAAATCGATAAGTGATTAACCGAACAGCCAAAATTATTTCTCTATCTGTCTACATAATGGATATTCGAGCTCTCAACCACAGAATTATCACTACTTTCCTTGATACAAATAACATTTTAATGTCTTTGTTTTTTCCACTTCACTGTTATCGTGTTTCACAGAATCTTATTATCACTCTTATAGTAAGTAGTGTCACTGTGAAAGATGAGTTAATATTTGCGATTGAACAGCTTGCAAAATGAATTTACCCAAAAGAGAACTCTTCCTTGAACCAAACTTTCCTATTTTATGTCTATGATCTAACATCGAATCGAACTCAGAGTCTAAATATGAACTGATTTTGAATTTCAAAAATCGTATTTGTAAATGTTAATATTCAGCAGTAAAAAGCGTGAAACGAATCGCTATAAACACTAGATAGATTTTGTTAAAATAAACATGTAGTAGTTCGATAAAATATGTAATGCCCACTGTTTAGATTGAATTACTTTGATTACCATATCAATAAATGAGATAAACAATGAAAATATAGAAAATTAACAACAAGGATTTTGTCAGAACAAATCGTTTCTAAAAGCGTAGCATTCAATAATGAAAGGAAATTACTTTCTTCCTTGTTCTGTTTTCATAAACTGCGTGTGTTTATCACAAACCCTCTTCAACGAATCTTCATTATAGACGATAATTTTCAGATTCTTGTATGAACCATACTTGATTTCATTGAATACACTCTCAAATAAAAGGTTCCAATCAATCTGATCAAAACAAATAACAAGTTGAAATACATTTAGGAAGACAGTAAATGGGTTATGTCGTAAATCGATTCCTTACACATGATCAGTGTCTCTCAGCTAATCGTGATCGGTAGTTGTCATATATTTTGTTGTCTACAATGAACGCAAACAACACTGTACGGTTCTTAGTAACTGCATTATCGTTGAAAGATAATTTTGTATGAAGTTTGAATGTATAATTTTTATTCATAATAGTTTTGAAAAAAGTTGACTTTGATGAAATTGAGACACCATTTTGAACAACAGACAAAGCGTTTATCAGATCTACGAGTTTGATTTATGGGTAACTAAGTAGTAACAAACATTTGTTGATGTAAAGGCATACATTATGTCCACCTAAATTCTAATTCTGAGTATTAACAAATGGTAAGACAGTAGTCCATTGATACATTGACAATGTACTTTTGTGGATACTGTGAATTCGACTGACCTGATTTTCCATTCCGAGACATTTAGTTCAGCAAACAGACGGATTTAGATTCCAACCGTCTTCAGATAGACAGATTTATATTTTAATAACACATTTCTAGCATGCATGTAATCTGCTTCGTTTAATTTGTTATGGTTTTACAAACGGGGCATTTCTGAGTATAACATCATCATAGACAGCGTTTGGGGTTTGTGGGTGACAATTTGATGTAGGTGACAATTGATTTTCAATTTTAATTCGTGTTATTTGGTAAAGTTAGTCCACGATCAATGATTTACTTCACTCAGACACATGCAACAACAAAAACCATTTTGATTCTTCCAGTTGTGGCAGATACTAATAATTTTATTACTTATTCTCTGAGGCTTAAGATGTGAGCATATTCAACACTTTGGCGAGAAAACTGTAGCTGGATCGAGGAAAATATTGTGGGATTGGGTAAGGGTTATTTGTGTCCATGGTCGGTGGTCTATGCTCCAATGGGAGTAACAGGTGTAAGTAGTTAGGTAAGTATTTGTGCTTCGAGATATGCAAATAAATGCATAGCATCAAGTATATGTAGTGCTACATATCGGGTAGTGACCAATAAAATCATTACATTACATCGTTACAACATTGATAGTGTAGGAGTAATGCTGAGAAGTGACGGGTTATGGTGAAAACTGTTGTTTTGTCACCAATGAAGGTCACAATAATTATGCTTCGAGGTGACGATAACAGTAAGTCGCTGAAGGAATGAGTGAATTCTTTTCTTAGTTTTATGATTAGAGAAATTATGTAGGTTAATAATCAACTAATCTTAAGTAAACGTTCACATTGACGAATCTAACATTCATTTAGTGATTGGAATGAGAAATGTTCTTCGTATGTAAGTGGTATTTTAAAAACAGTTTGATCGTCAACTCACATCGAGACAGATTTCCTTTAATTTCTCAATTGTGACTTCTGAATCAGAACCAGATGGTTGTATTGCCTGTGATAAATATAATAGCGAAATCTAATCACAATCAATTATCTGATTTAGTTTATTGAGTGAGTGTTACTAGGGATTTAGGAACTAGATCACGACCACTGTTTAGTTCCTTCATCATAGTAATCATTTTTCAAAGAAAAGAAATTAGTGTTATGACAACATGTTGCATAAGTGTTTATAATCAATTAGAAACTTCATAATATATATCTTAACTGTTCCATTCGTTTTAAAATAAAATCTGTGTATCATCAATGTTATCAGATGCTTATCCACAATAAGTTGTTTCAATCTGGCCAAGGTATTCCGTAGTATTCAGTAGTGTTTTGAAATTTTCAATTTATGTAAGTGAACTATAATATGTTGTCAATAATGATAGTGAAATTTTGAAGACGTTTAGATCATAGATTTTCTTGTGTGCAATTTTACAAATTGAAGCATATACGTGGAGTTCAGTGGGAGAAAAACGATAAGTATTTGTATCAATAATATTAGCTTTGCTCTACGGTAATCGACTAACAAAAAGAAAATTCAGCGAAGAAAATCTTCTTTTTAACGAAATCATTTACTTAAGCTGTGCATTTTTATGTATATAGTTGTATGGAATGTATATGTCTATAGCAAACATTTTCCAAACACACCTCAGAAAACTATCCGGCTTGGCTTTTAAGAAGAAAATGTAAAACAATTACTAATTCTATGCAGGGGCATTAAATCAACTGTGAACCCATCGCTCCAAAGGATTCTTCTTTTAAAGTAATCTACAGAGTCAATAGAACTGGATCGACAGGGTGTCGAATCAATATTTTATGCGCTTCTGAGTCAATAGCACTTTGCGTGCAGAAACGATTCGTCCAACCTCTCATCCTTCCTTAACTCTAATTCCCTTTACTGGTATGTTTCGGGTGTTTTTCTGCACTTTTATTTGACTATTACTGAATTCGTTTAATTATTGTTTTGCAACTTTAAACTCCAGTCAGTTATTATTATTATTACCTAATACAAGGTTTCGAGATTATTCTTCAGTTTATTATTATGAGCCTTTTCTTTGTCGTTTCCCTTCATGTCTGTCTAGTGGACTATTATCTGACACATAAGTTATTTTCTTTCCTGCCCTTTAACTAGTACGTAGCTTCATTTGTTATTTAGTCTCGAGTCAATTTATGATGCAATCTTTTTTATCCACCTATAGACATATACTTTCCATATAACTACATATACGAATGTACAGCTTAAGTAAATGATTTCGTCGAAAAGAAAATTTTCTTCGCTGAATTTTCTTGTACTTATTCAATGACACAATGGGTTATTTTAATTCACTGTAATCTTTTGTAATAAAACATGTTGCAGACATGAAGTTCACAGGACAGGGTTTGTTCACATTGGCAAAAGTAATTTGAGGAAAGCTTTAATTTCCAATGAAATTCACGAGAAAGAGAGGTCCATTATTATTTGAATTGATGTTCAGCCGATAACATAAAACGTTTGGTCACGTTATTTATCGTCTGCTATATCTCTGGATAGTTGCCTATTACTACTCAGAAAAACTTACACTACTGGGTAGCTAAAACTTTATTTGATTGCCAAGGCCTCATACTTGTATTCTCATGACTGAAATACGAGTGTACTGATCACTGAATACTACATCCATCTTCTACAAAATAATGGAGTGTATAAAAAATGTATAACAATATAATTTCAAAAGTTGTGAGGTAATCATGATCATTTTACTCACACTTTTGATTTCAGAATGCAAGCCGAAAGCTTCTTGTATTAATTTTTTCTTATCCTTCAGAGGTCCGATTCTCTTCATATATTCGAAAAGTTGTTCACCCTCACTTGTGTTCTCACCATTGGACTGTTAATTGAGAATAAAGAAAATCGTACAAAATTTCAATCCCATGAAATGTTATTTATTGATAGAATAT